ACGCATATGAAAGCAGGTTGAAAGCTGTATTGTATTGTTAAGAGTAGAGTAAGAGAAAGGTGAGTAAAAGCAATGCCACATTTGCTTGAAATTAAGGTGGAATTTCCCCCCAAAATGTAACCTTAAAAAATACACCTCCCCAATACTCATGGAGTCAGAATTTCTAATGCTAAGAAATGAAAGACAGGGCCGTTAGCCAAAGTGACACAAGTGGATAGAATGTGCATTCAACAGCTACAGTGTTTAGCTAGCATTGATGTAGGATAATGGACAAGCCTACCATCTTCTGTGGTGAATAATTTAAAAATACTTCTTTCCCCTTTCGCTGCTGACACTGTAGTATTGTTTTTCTTGCAAATTCAGCATTTTTAAAAAGCTCTCTTCTTTGAAAAGGGGGGTTGTTTTCTAGTCAGGACCACCTTATATTTGGGCCAGCACTATAAGTAGGATAGTAGAAGAACGTCTGCTGCATATATCCTATAAGTAGGATAGTAGAAGAACGTCTCCAAGAACGTCTGCTGCATCACACTTATGTACAGAAGTCCTCTAAATGGTATTTTCATTCCATGTAACAGCCACTTATTTTCCATAGTGGGAGGAGCCTTGCTTGCTGAGAAGATGAGGGAGATTTTAGTTTCTTCTAGAATATAGATGTTTGCCACAGAACAACAAAGAGGAGTTGTCAGGCCTGGTTAAGTGTTCTTAGCTGCAATTACACTGGAAGCCTTAAAGTGGTAAAATGCATTTATACGAATGTGGCCCACCATGGGAATTAACTAGAGGACAAGTTAACAGCTGCTGCAGGCACTGAGTCATATCCAAGTCCTTATGCTATATTCTAAATCACAATTTAGCACTGACTAGAAAACTTAATTTGGAAAAAAAAAATCGATGTGACCAGCAAACTATGATCAATAAACACAATACTTTTGTTGCTTATTTTCCGTTAAAACAGTGCTGACCTTTGCTCTGTCCCAAAATCACTTTGAATTATATAACACTGTGGCAGGTGCTGAAACATTTTGAAGGGGCACGGAAGTTTATGGTCTCCATTGCCAAGAATGTCGCACCCATGTATTTTAAGATTGGATATTTGGGCTGTCATAACATAACCCCATGCAGCAAGTAAACAAACTCAGACTTGGAATGGATCCACTGATTCATTATGAGCTTCACTCTGAATTCTACAGACACTGACCCCTGTGAATAAAACTAAGCTCTGGTTACTGGGAAATGCAAGCACGTTAAGATGTATAATGCTTAGAATGAAGTATCTGAGTGATTTTGCTGCAGAGATTAGGTGAGCATGATTACGTGGTTAGAATAGAGGTTTAATTATCCATGTGTTTGTAGCTTCAGTATTATTTATTAAGACATTTCCTGTTTAGTTAAGAAGGTCAGCATATTCAATATATTCCAATACCCTTCATTGTTTTCTGTGGCAATGAAGTAGCCGTCTCTTATTTGTATTTAAAACTCTTCAAAACATGGGGTATGTTCTTGTGATCTCCTTTGCTGAACATTTTATAGCCTTTATAAGCCTTTGGTTCAAACATGTCATGAAACCATTCTTTCTCACCTGCTGGATCCTATTCTGCAGTAAAACACAGTCGACTCCCTTTCACCATAATTATAGCACCTAGCACAGCAGTCTGAACAATATACAGTATACAGTATACAGTTTACCTTTATAATTCAGTCTCTTCTCTCTTTTTCTTTTGACTTTTTCAATTGGTGCTTGACACTACTAAAGACATGTTACACACCACAGTTTATGAGAAAATGTTCAGTTTACCATTACCTAACTGGAAAGGCATTTAGTGCGCAGACAAATACTGAAATAAAACTTCAGGTACAAGTGAAATTTCAGTGAACCACACTACCAACTGTTATATCTGAACAGCAGACTTACACCAATATTTTGTATCTGTCAGTTGGGGGGTATAGTGCTGTGGCTAAAATACTACCAAAATTGTGTTTGTGCATCACAAAGAAGGCAATGCTGTACTAGACTGCTGAATACAAGATTTTTGGTTGGGTCCCATGGTGCTTTCCTATTGGCTAACTGCATTCTGCATGTGTGTATTATAATGGTCCACTTCCCTTAGTAAGAGCATCTGCCAATTGCATGTAATAATGCTGTCACATTGGACAAAAGTGTCTTGGGACTGGTATTTGGAATTACACGTGGCTACGAAAAATTTACGGAATGCATGTGATTTCAGAATCAGTGTTGTCATGTGTGTAAATCTGTGTGTATAAAGAAACAAATAGGTGTTGCCTACCTCTGTAGATCTGTTGAGCGAAGACGATTCCGGTGACTGAATTTATGACTTGCTCTGTCAGTGATACCTCTCTGTTAGTGTTCCTCTGCCTGACTCTTCTGTTATTAGAAACTTGTTCCGTGGCAGGTGGTATAATTCAAGAGGGCTCACATGTGATGTATACACAGAGGGACGAGCCAGTGTGAGGTGTTTTTTTTTTTTTCTTATTTGCTCTCTCTCTAAGCTGAAGCTCCTTGTTAAAGACACACTTGTCACACTTTTTTTGGGGGTCGGGAAGGGAGGCTTCCTCTGAAACACAGTAAATGATTCAAATGATGAACTGCATGACTTGCAGTATGCAATGTGACATAAATGACAATGGTATCTCTTAAATGTACTACATTGCTCTGTAATATATTATATATTATGCTGTAACTAAAGCTATACTCTGCCATAAACTAAAAAAATTCAACAATTCTTTAAATGTGTTAAAGGAAAATACAAGGTGCATCAGACTGAGTCTGGACAAGAGGCTTTGAGACTGTTCTATTTATAAGGTCGAGTTGAAGACCTGCATTTGGTGAGTTGTTTATAGCTCTGGAGGCATTTGTTAACTTCCTGGTGGGTATCTTCCATTGAGGCTCTGCACTTAGTGTACTTATGGCTGTGTAACACAAAAAGGGCAGAAGGTTTAAGGGTCAGTAGCTAGCATACCAACACCGGCTCCTGGTCACTTACAGCTAAGTCTTCCTAAGGCTTATTGTTTGCTGTGTGGGTGTCAAAGATATTGAATGGTCACGGCTGAAAGATTTAGAAAGCAACCCTTAAAAGTATTGTATAATCGTCTCATGTTTTTGCATAATTTATATACAGTTTAATTGTAGCATGCAGTTCAAGTGAGAGTGTATGCTTTTTTGCTTTGCTTTTACATGTCATCAACACTGTATCCATGGTAACTCATTAGCACCTCATTCCTTAGTCTTGACCCTAAACCAGTCTGTAATCTCCTTTCACTTTGGACTTTAGATATCCTCCCAAATGGTTTTGCTCAATTGGCATTGGGTAAATATAAAGTGCTTCCTGCCCAGGGTTCTTGTGCAAAAGGAAAAAGTCAAGCACATTGATAAGTCTTTATTATATCAGGGGGACACTTGGTTTTTCTATCTACAAGAAAGAAAATATAACTCCAAATCTAAACTTATATTTTTTGAGAAGTATTTTAAGCCCAAACTATAGTAGGTACTCAAGCTCCTCTCTAACCAATACCAGCAGTTCTTTTCAGAATCTTGTGGCCTTGAGAATGAATGACATCTGCTGACTGGTTGGTGGCTACTTTACAATGGCACTGAAGAGGTTAATCACCCCAAGAGGGAGCCACTAACTTACTACCCATAACAAGTGGCAGAGGGTAGACTGGACTTCCTGAGACGAAACATGAGAATACTCATGCGATTGCGCTCATGAACAAATTACATAAACTGCCCCCCATGGCCAGAGACAGGGCTTCCCCAATATACGGTCACACTCACACCACGGTGACATGTGTGAGGAGACCCCACTCTACGACAACAAACAGCGCACTGTGACATAATCCCCTGGGGTTTAGAGAGAACAGATACAGCTCTTGGGTCAGGGGGGACATCCGGCGCGTAGCAGTGACTTTGTCCCTCCTATGGACAGGGTCACGGTGACGCCATCAGGGGGATGCGTGTACCACACCTGTTTGTGTCCGGGATAGGACTGCCCCCCACGATGTGTCTCCATGCAACCCGACTCACTTTAGCTCTCTTGACCTGTGAGGGAGGTCCTTAATTCATTCCCTACCAGCTGCTAAGGCCAGTTGTGGAATATTTGAAAGAGCCTTGCCTATGAACAGCCTGGTGGACCAGACTGGAGAGTGTGCTTCACAGTGACTGGATTACTGATTACTTAATTACCAAGCAAACACAGCCTTTGCTTTTTCCCCGTTTATGTAACCCTGTTTTGGAACCACCAGTTGTATGCTAGGCCCCTCTCCCTGTAAAAACCTCTGCGCTTGTGCAGGAGTGGTGAGGCGAGATGAATGCAATGCTCCACACACAGCCAGAGGCTACTTTTCACACCTCAAGTCACGCAGCGTACTACAGTGGAGGATATGCACTACTTGCATGTCCTCACATTTGAGGATAGGCACTTCTCTGCTGATGTCGTCTGAGCAACTCCCAGGTGATGAGTTGAAAGGTGTCTGAGAGTGGGGAGACGAGGAAGCCCTGGATAACCTACTTACCATGATCCGCAGCAGAGCAAAGCCAATTAGATCCGCCTCTGATTAGGGCCACCTTGCCGACTGAGCCACTCGGGACCCCAAGAGAGTCTTTGCTGACACTGTTTTGTTACATTCCCTCATGGTTTCACTTTAGGGCACAAAGGTAGTAGGCTTTTGTGGTGACATGTGGCACAGTGCCAGGTGGTGATGGGATAAGAAACACTCACAGAAGGAGTGATGCATTGGCTCTCTGACCAATGCATTTCCCTGCTCCGGGGGAAAGGTCACCAAAACAACTGGAAAAGGAACAACACACAATCAACACAACTAAAGCAGACACATTGCATTGCCATATAGATGCTCTTATCCAGAGTAGCTTACACAGTTTACAGCTTCAACATGTTATCTATTTACACAGGTGGACACAGAAAGGATTATTGAATCACTGAATACCTATTAATTCAGGTTAAATACCTTACCCAAGGGTACAACAGCAGTGGCCCATCTGGGAATTGAATCAGCAACCTTTGGGTTATGAGCCCTACGCTTGACCGCTTTGCCACACTGCAGCCCCTAGCCTGAGGGCTGAGCTGAGCTGAACTGAACCGAACCAAGACAAACAGGCCGTAGACAAGGAGAGTACAGATATATTCTGTGTTTCTCCCTGAAAAGACTAAAGCTGTTCCTTTATACAGTTCCACTGAGGAAGCAATAAGAAGCTGCAGAAGTGATCACAGACAATCTGCAGCTGCTACAGTACCTGTGAGTAGAGTTATGTTTTATGCTGCAGATGTGATCAGTCTTAGAGGCAATTAGACAGGAGGTTGGGAGTGAAGTTTTCCACTCTGTAGACAGGCGTTTAATTAATATTGTGAGGGAATGGAAAGGAGTAGACACAACAAAGTATAGATCTTTGTCTTGCCCTCACGAGTCTGCCAACCAAAAAATAACAAACCAATACAAAATGAACACAGAGGACCCTTTTCAGAGATTCACCAGATGTGAGGGTTTTTCTTTCTCTCTGACACCACTGTCACAGCTCGAAATTACTTGTGCACTTGCTCTCTCTCTCTCTCCTTCACTCTGAATGCTGGGAAACGCGCCGACACGCCCTGACAGCATCAATCGCCTTTATTTCTGCCGCATGCCCCGCCTCCCTCTGCAGCTCTGAAGGCGGGGTCGACCTCCCGCTGCCCCTACCTCCCGCTGCCCCTCCCCACAGACAGACATGCTCAGCAGGCCGGCGTGGGCCTTCAGCACTCCCAGCCTGCTGAGACACCGGGAGCGGAGAAAAAGGCGGACGCCGCTGTGTCTCAGACACAGGAGCAGGCCCCTCTGCCCCTGTGCCAGCCCTTTTAACGTCACCTGAGATAAATTAAAATGTCAGTACAATATTTCATGCTGCCGCTGATCCCTGGACCGGAGCAGGTCGTCCAAGGTAACAGCCCTGCAAACGCTGATTGACAGGAGTGCATTGTGCACTTGCTACATTGATATGAAAGGTGAGTACCCTTGTGGCTCGGCCAAGGACTCGAGTTTGTCACGGAGTCCAGACCAGTGCGGCCAAGGTTTTTTTTTTCCTTTGTGAAAGAGCCTTAGGTTTTAGAGGGGAGGAAAAACCCCAGCTGTCTGTTTCCACTCAGTGTCTTTACAGTACCTGTCACTGAGCCAAAAAAATGGCTTTGGGGCACAGTGTGTCCCTCAAAATAGCCAGGTGGTTATAGAACAATATGCACATGTTTATATCGGATTTCAGATGCCAGCTTTCATCACACTGCCTTCGTCTTGCAGCTCCTATGGGACAATGCATACAAACACATATGCAGTACATTTTAAACTAGAACCAGTATGGCATCACAGCTGCTAGCTGTGAAAAAGGCTACCAGCATCTGACCTGAAGCTCTTTCTTAACTGATCATTAATAATATTAACACCTTCCCCAGGAGTCACCTCAGCCCCTCCACAAAATATACTCAGCACAAGTAATAAAACACAAATTGACTAATGCTTTAACTCCTGTTCAATGTCTGATGAGCATTCACTCGTAAGCAGCAAGCAGTGTCTAGGATAGGGTAGGCACTGTAACAGGACTAATTAATATTGATATAACATTAACATTGCTATTGCCAGGTGTGCTAACTATAGCTTCCTCTGCAACCCATCATCACGTTGCCCTCGGTGACCATGCTTTAACCCAAAGCTGCCCCCGGGCACTGGAATGCCCCCATTGATACATTGAAGCCTTGTATTAAAGATATCCACTCCTCCTCCCTTGTGTTGCCAGTCTCTGTGTCCCGCTGTCCAATTTGTCTATGTGTGTCTTTATGTATTGTAACTTTTACTCTGTAACCTCTTCTTACAACACCACATAATCCCCATTCCCTCTCCCCTTCAAATGCAGCCAGAGAGCTTTTTATGCTGGAGCTAATTGGTGGTCAGTTGGCCCTGGCTGGTTACCATTTCCTTCCCCAGGAGCTGGTAGAGTGACAAAGTGGCCAGGAGATGGCAGCATTTCACTCAAAGCCCAGCTCTGTCTGCCTGGCTGCCACAGTATAGTATGTTTTGCTTTCTTTGGTTACTTTGCACATTGTGTTTGTCATCATGAATAGTGTTTCATAAGTGCAATCTATTATTATTATTCAAACTGGTAATTACAGACACTGAAATATCATTAATATAAATAAATTTAGCATTAAATAATATTAATAAATTTAACATAAAATTCAGTCAACATTTTATGAATGGGTAACTAATGGAACCTGGAAGTGAACTTACCAAAATGGATTTCTTTTTCCCAGCTCAAACTGATAGTTTGCAGGGCTACAGTATATTTCAGTGGTTGGATAGTGATTCGTGCAAGGAAAATGGTATGTATGCTCTCAGCTTCATAGAGGGTGTTCAGACCAGACCACACTGTTGCGACAAATTGCATGCAATACATTTGTTTTTAAAATAGCTCTGGATATCTGGATAAGTCAATTTTCAGGTTTTCAGGATTCTGTCCTTGATTTTTTTCTACAAAATAACTTCTAGACCCTTCCCTGCCTTTTTGATGTGTTTTTCCCTGGTCCAAGTGACTTCAGTTATTCTCAGGGTTTTGGCTCCTGCTGCTGCTTCCCTCAATGACTAACAGGCGACCTCATAACTTCCTGTCAAGGTTTGTGGTGGAAAATTTTTGACTAAGTGTATACCCCATATGTAAATTATGAGCATTGCCACTTTCACCCCACCAGAGAAAAGCGGAGCTTGACGTGGTACGATTAAGCTTGTTACATGGTGGAGATAAATTATTGCCAGCAAACGTCATAAGCATTTCTAGCAGATGTTAGTGTCTTACTATTATCGCTTGAGGGTTACAAACATTGCCGAGTGTTGATGTCAGTTTTTGATTTTACCCACTTTAACCACAGTATTGACATATTTAAGACAGTATTGACATGTTAACTGAAGTTATTGTATATCAATCACTTACTCTATCTCTACTGTGCATGTGGAGGTCTGGAAGGGTGTAAGGAAACCAGACAATCCAATATTTTAGCCTTAAACGAATCCTATTGTACTTTGTATGCATGTGAACAGAGACTGAGGGAGGGGGGTCGGAGGTGTGCAGGAGACTGAGGGAAGGCATGTAGCAGTGAGATATCATGACATAGAGCCGAGAGGGAGAGGAGAAGAGAACAATTTTATATGTGTGCCGTTAGTTACAAATTAAGGCCTGTTGTTGTGTTGTCTGGACATTGCCCAGGAGATGGACCGTGAGCATAAGATAAAGAGAAGTCGGACTCTGTGAGGGCGGGTTTGTTTGATCAGTACTACTATGGTGGAAGAAACGTGACAATTTGTATGTCCACATGCAGTAAATCCATGTGTAGTTTATAAGCATTGCCAGTAGAAGTCAGTTAAGCTAAAGCAGGTAATTAGTTATTTTAAGGTGTGTGAACCCTGGAAATAATGTAAAATTAAGGCAGGATATATTTTTTTAAATGAAGACAGAAATGTGCTGATGTAGCACAGGGGCATGCTGGAGGGGAGAGAGGTAACAGGAGAATGTGGTGTGACTGTGGAGAAGTAGCAATGGTGTATGGAGAAGATGTGGTGACTTTAAGGGAAGAGTTTGAGTTTCATAAGCAAGCATTGTCAGTGGGTTAGGTTAGGGTTATTCTAGGCGCCAGATCATGGAGTGTATTGTAGTGGGCACATGTGCGGAAGGGAAGTATGTGGTGTAGGTTTTGAAGTGTGTGTGTGGGGTTGGAAGCATTCCATTTTGGACAATCCAAAGTCACTCAGAGTGTCCTTACCAACAGGGGAATATTAAAGAAAGAACAAAAGAGTGTAAATTCTATATGAGTCACTGCTGGTGTACCCATGAGGGAGTGCAGCTAAGAGCTTGAATCATGCCTCCTTCTCAGCGGATCAAGCCTTACACAAGTCTAAGCCCTGCTGGCTTCCTGTGGCTTGAATCTGAGGTCCAAGCCCTGCTATGGAGGCGGTTAACTGAGCATATCTTGTATGCAAACAAAACAGCAGTCACTATATGCTCTCAATGATGTGATTGGTCTGTATGCATAAAATATAAAAAAAGGTTTGCCCAAGTAATACACTAGCATGAAAAGCAACAAGTAGCTTGTAACAGTAACTGGTTTAATATAAAATTAAGCATCCACAATTAAGCAGGTCATTTCATTTTTGTTGCCCAGCGCATGGACTGAGTAAAAACTTGTTTTCGTTTTGCCAGTAAGAGCACAGTTTGCCTGGGGTGGGGTGGGGTGGGGTGCATTCAATCTAAAAACTAGTGCTTTGAGCTATTCTTGCCACTAAAATAGATAAAATTGTACAAAACTTTCTTATATTACTTTCCCAAAGTTAAAGACAATATGCTACAGCTGTTAGTCTGCATGTCCTCCTTTTTCATTAGAGTACAGGTATACTGACTGCCTTTCTGCCTTGAACAATTTCAGGTCCTAATCAAAAATAAAACATGTTGTAATGAAAACAGACTGGGATCCAACAGCGGTCCATAATGTTTAATGACCAAAGGCAAAGTGTAGTCAGGGACGAAAACTGGTCGGTAATGAGAAGCAGCAGTACAAAACCAGATCCAAACATGAGCAAGGTCCAAAGAACAGGCAAGGGTCAAAAAACAGCAGTCAAAACACAGAATGGCTGAGCACAGGCTTGGTACAAAGTTGCAACAAACAATACCTCACAATGAGGCAACACAAACTGAGTCCTTAAGTAGCCAGGAACTGATTGTATCACGAGTCACAGGCGTGCTTGATGAGCAGGTGAGGTTGAGCAGGGCTGAACTGGGCGTGGCTAAGATGACTGACTTGAAGCGGGTGTGACACGTGTTATTTTAACAAGTTTTTCATAACACATTTGAATGTACAATATGTGCTTTTCTATTGTTAAGTTATTTAGCATGACAAAAAGATCCAAGGTTTGGAAAAGTAGTTCACAATAACATATACAGTACTATGGATGTAAGGACAACAAATAAGAGAATTATAATCGACAAAAGAATCTATACCTTATTAATTAAGCAGTGGTATGAAAAATGACAATATTC